CATTTCCTCAAGTACCTCCTTTAGCCTTGTTGCCCAAATTGTCATATGTATCTTATAATCAACATTCAGGAGAAAGATTGGTCTATAATTTTTAATTTGTTTTTTTCCCCATCCCCACTTTATGTATTAAGGAGATATGTGCCTCTTTTCATGAATCTGGGATTTCCCCTCTAGTTTCAATATCTTCTATTAATTTCTTGAAATATGGACTTAAAGTTTCTTCCAATGCTTTGTAGTATTCAGCTGGGAGTCCATCTGGTCCAGGGGCATTCCCATTTTTCCCATGCTTCTCCAATTTCATTTGCCATGATCGGTTTATGTAAATTTTCCAATTGTTGAGGACTAAATCTCCAATTTGAAAGTTTGTCCAAATTTCCTTTTGTTTATATAAATCGGTTTACATCTGAGTCTATTGTCGTTATTGCTTTTGTTTTATCAGTTTTAATTAGTTCAAGTTTTCCTTCTTTCTAGTTGTAAGTTATCAGGTGATCATAGAGTTTAAACGTTGTATTTGAAATGTTCTTTCCTTCTCTCAGTCTGAGTGGTGCGAATTGGGGGGAATTGAGATGAAAAGCTTTGAAAGTTTAGCAAAACAATTTACCCCTCCTTTCCCCTTCTCTGTTGATGTTACAACTGAGACTGTTGGAAGGCAGTTCTTTCCTTCTCTCAGGTTAGATGAAGGGTGGGTTGGGGGATTGGGACAAAGGGCTTTGAAAGTTTTAATTGATGATCTACCCCTCACTTCCCCCCCCCCTTTGTTGAGACTACATCAGATGCTGTTAGAAGTCAGTTCTCTAATTCTCCAAATCCATTTGCAGTCTCCCCTCAGGGCTTTCCTTGCCACCTGAACAGCTTTTCCCCAGAAAGAGGCTTCATGCTGCTTCATCTCCCTGCTTTTACTCCTCTTTAGAAAGGGACTTTGTGTGAAAGTATAGCAAAGATATGGTTCTTGTTTATTTAGTTATTAAGTTATCAAGTTCTCTCCCTGTATATAGTCCTCCAGGGCTAAGGTTCAATTCAGTTACTCACCTTCCTCCCTTGATATATTGATGTTACCTCCAAGGGTGTAATCTCCTGTCGTGGCCATGCTACACAGCTAATTCACCAAAACATGGCACCGAGCTGGATCTTCTCTCTGGGGAGGGAGAGATCATCGAAAGATTGGGTTGCAGCCCATCCCCCTTGAGATCTCTCAATCCCCTGAGATCCAGGGAGATGTTCTTGTACACCTCCCTGTCCCCCAATTCCTTCAGGGGAGTCTTGATACGCTGTATACAGCCAGTCTTCCACAGAGCCCTGAGGAGACCAGCCATTTTGCTGCTCACCCCGCCCCCTTTCCCCACACATGGATTTTGAGGTATGTGTGCCAGATTGGTGTGTGCCCAGAGATACAAGTAGGGACTCATTAATCAACAGGAGAAGCCACTGTAAGTTACACCATTTGCCTTCTGTGTAGGTATTATTAAGCAACAGGATTTTGGCTTATGATTCTATTGCCTTCCAGAAACATGACATTCCAGATTATCTCCCAGAGTTCTGGGAGTTTAGCTGAGAGTATAGATAGATGGTGCTTTCAGAAAAAGTATGCATAGTGAAAGAAAGAAAATGGGGGGAAAGGAAGGGGAGTAAAATTATAATCCTACTTATTAATTTTGATGCTATTATTAAGCTTATGGTAATTGTGAATCTTAAATTTCTGCAGAGAGGTTCAGGCAATGACAAGGAACCAATTATACTTGTATTGGTATAGTTCTATATGTTTACTCAAATATATGTCCTATTAAATAAAGAGGATCTTGCACCACAAGTAATATGCATAAGAAATTTAAAAACAATTGCTTTACATGGTTCCTCTATTTTATTCTAAAGACACCTCCCTAATGTATGTACTGATTAACCCAAGCAAGGTTTGTGAATAAACAGGGATTTGAATTTACGTCTCCCTGTTTCAAGTCCAGTGCTTAAGCCAGGACACTGTACTGGCTCCCTCAAGATAAATCATTACTGTATAAATAACTGCAAAGCTGAAATATATTGACAGAAAATAATGCAAGTGATTGTGCTTCATTTGTACAAAATGAAAATACAGTGGTGCCTTGCTTAACAAGCGCCCCGTTTAACGATGAATCCACATAGCAATTAGGTTTTTGCGATTGCAAAAGCAATCGCATTGCGATGTTTTAGATGGCCAAAAATCGCTTTGCGATGATCGGTAAGCGTTTCGCAATTAATAATGAGCTTAAAGACCACCAGTAGTGAATAATTAGTTGGACTGTGTTACTTGGCCTGAGGTGTAGATGTTTGTATTTTTAGTGGGGGACTTCTAGTGGGTGGGGAGTGTTTGGGGAATGTTATGTGTGTGCATGTGTCTGGTCTCTCGGTGTCTGTGAATTTCATTGTATGGTATACTGTGTATATACTTACAATGACAATAAATTTTATTATATTATTATATTATTATATTATTATACCAGAGTATTTAAAAACAGCTGATCAGCGATTCCAAAATGGCTGCCGGAAAAAAATGGCCACCCGCAGTGCTTTCGCGCCCTTTCCTTGCTTACCGGGCAGCAAAAATGCCGGCCAGATGGAGGATTTCCACACGGCGGTGATTTTTTTCCCCATAGGAACGCATAAAACGTGTTTTAATGCGTTCCTATGGGGTTTTTTCCCCTGCATAGTGACGAATCTGGATAGCGACGATTTTTTTGGCACGGATTATCATTGCTATGCGGGGCACCACTGTACAAATTAATTAACAGATTATAAAAAGTACAATATGCAAATTGGCATAATTTACAAATTAAATTTACATAATCTACAAATCTAATTTGCATAATTTACAAATTAACCTCCATAGATTTGAGAAACTGGAATATGTGAGCAACGGTACAATTATATCTCACCATATTCAACATAGCTTGCTTCCAGCATCTTTATCTTCCACCTCCACAATCTTGCTGGAGATTTCAGTCAACTGTAACCTGTTGCCACCTATTCCAGAACAACAGTCACAACTATAGCAATCCTTACATGCCTTACTATTTTTTAACTCTTACCAGGCACAATATTAAAAAATTAACAAAGCAATCCCATATTTGTTCACCTTCATATCAATGTGCATTAAGCAAAACACAATAATAATTAATCATTCTATGTGGGTCTTCTTGAAAGTGGTGTGCACCTCTTCTTAATACATGTAAAAGAAAGTGTTTTCTTTTTTTTTTTTAGCTCAATACTTTTGGGAAAGTTCTAAAATATAAAAAAGCAGGAGGCTGAGATATATTTTAATGAATATCACATTTCAAAGCTTCTTATCGTCTTGGGAATTATTAATTATTTCAAAGAAAATTCCACAGGGAAAACATTCTTTATAACATAGTCTGGTACATAGTCTCTTGTGGAGTAGTCCAGAGCTTTATTGGTGTGGTATCACAGAATGGATTCGTCGCTTTGGCAATCCTCTATGGAAAATTAGTCACAGAAAGACAACAGTTAGGCTGCATTCATTTCAGTGATGTGTTTAAGAGCAGAAGGATTCTTCTGAAGTTTGTTTTTATGCACAAATGGTTCAGAATATAAATGTGGTAGTCTACAGAGTTCTCACACCTTAAGACATAATGAAAAAGGTCAGAGAGCTCAAAGTGAGAGGCTAATTAAAGAAGAATTTCAGAGATGTGCTATTTTCATTGCGATTCACTGCAGGAAAGGCAACAAAGGGGTGTTTCATACCTAAGGCTTAAATCACCTTTGAGCTCCTCTGACCCATTTTGAAGAAACTGTAATGAATTATACAACACCAAAAAGGGAGAATCTCATCTAAAATATGTTCCAATTCAGCGAAAGTTCAGATGAAGCATCTTCAAGCATAAATGGGTGAAACCTGCTGGAAGGCCAAAATTGTCTGCCTTTTGATTAATGACACTCCCCTTTCTGCCCCTTTCCCTGTTTTTTTCCTCTGGTTGCCATTCAGGGGTCTGCAGTGACTTTCCTTTATTTTTTGGTTACGTAAAGTGAGTGATATAGCAATGCATCTACCTTGTATGGTATACATAATACTGCCAATGTATCTCATTTATCTAGAATAGCACTGCATTAATAGGAAAATATCGAAAAAATTAAAGTAATAAAATAGATGAATATAGAGGAGGAGGTTCTCCACCATCCCTGTCAATGCCATAGTCCACCAAATACATTACAGTGTTGTCACCTCAGGTAATACTGTCCATAGTTCTACTTGAGTGTGAACTAAGCATCTAGATATCTACACAGCGTACAGAACGGGATCATTAGGAGAGCTCCAAATTGTACCAAAAAAAAAACACTGTAGCCCTAGCTCTGTGTTAAAAAGGTGTGGGACAGCTCTAAAAAGGGGCGGGCTGGATCATTCTAAATAAAAACACATGTTTACTTTAAATTTGGGGTTTCCTTGTATGTTTAGTGTACTTATAGCATGTATTCCAAATTTTGTTTGATCTACTATTTTACATTAATGTCTTGTGTCATTCCCCCCCCCCATTTGCAAGCCACTTCTAGCAGTAATGATCACATTTTGCTCCAGTTCTTATTTCTTTTTCATTCTACGTATAGTGATTCTTTTTAAGATTTCAACAACCTCCTGGGATAGCTCTCCATGCCATTGAAACCATCTGCTCTCGGTGAAGCATCATATCTCCAGCACACCTGCCACCTTAGGCTATAGTTGTACCTAATTTTAAAAGAGTGCAACAAATTCTGAAGAAGTTAGAAGTTCTCCAGAATCCTGGTTAATTGTTCAGTGTAAATGAGGCATGTCTCATCTCTCCTTCCTTCATTTGTACGCGTTCCACCAATGGTATTGATGTTCATATGTCTATTTAGAAATATCTAAGTTTTGTTCTTAAGATTTTGCTTCTTACATTCTTTGGTTTTAAGAAAGACTGAATATCTCTTCAGCCAAAATGATATTTGCTTGTTTGTTTGTTTGAACATATTGATTGTGGTTTTTAATTTTTTTGCAGTCAATATGTTGTTTGAAACGTTGTTAGCTATGGTCCTTGGGACTGTTATTTATCTGTTCCTGACCAAGAAGAAGGAAGAAGTTCTGCCTATGGGAGATGGATGGTGGGGCAAAGGGCAGAAGCCTGATGCTGAGGAAGATGAAACTATACATCCTTTTAAGGTGGAAACTTCAGAGGCTGATATCATTGTAAGGAACTCTCTTTCTAGCAGATAGATCAACAGCAGGAAATGCTAAGTTAGTAACACAATCCTAACATACTTTCCTAGATATAAGTCAGTAGAACTTATTTTGAGTGTCCCTCAAGTGAAGGACATTAAAATTACAACCTAAATATATCAAAATACAAAAATGAACACATTTAGATTTGCATTTCTAACCAGCTTTTCTACCCTCTTGACTTCAAGCTGACTAATTTTAAAAATGTAAAATGAGCTTGTAAGGTGCAAGGAAGGCCCTGGTCACACAAGGGAAATGTTTTCTATGTTCTTCCAATACTTTCCATACCTCTGTTGTACTGAATCGTGGTCATGTGGTTTATATCACAGGATAAACGTCCCAAGAACTTTTAGCGGTACTGATTTATTTCCTCATATTTGTATCATCATGACTGGCTAGACCAGGGCACTGGTTTCTTTTGCTTCAAGGGGCAATTTAGCCCCTTGATTTATTTGTGTGTGTGTGTGTGTGTGTACACACACACATGCACACATATATATACATATATATATACCTATATACACACACACACACACATATATACACACAAACACACACACATATATATACATATGCATATATACATATACATATATGCACATACATACATATACATACACACGTATACATATATAAATATATATACAGTGGTGCCCCTCATAGCGACGATAATCCGTTCCGGAAAAATCGTCGCTATGTGGAATCGTCGCTATATGAAACAAAAAAGGCAATAGAAATGCATTAAAACACGTTTAATGCGTTCCTATGGGCAAAAAACTCACCATTCAGTGAAAATCCTCCATACGGCCGCCATTTTCGCTGCCTGGTAAACGAGGAAAGGGCACAAAAACACACCGGGCGGCCATTTTTTTAACCCGGCGGCCATTTTGGAACCGCCGATCAGCTGTTAGAAAAAACATCACTATGCGAAAATCGGTAAGTGAAACAGCTTACCAATCATCGCAAAGCAATTTTTCGCTGTCTAAAACATCGCAAAATCTTCTTCGCTATACGGATTCGTCATTAAACGAGGCGCCCGTTATGTGGGGCACCACTGTACATATATTGATACATCAATGTATTTTAAGCAAGTCTAAGGTGCACGACTGTGTGAGTGCACTTGACTCCGCCCCTCCTCATAACTTTCCTCCTTCCCCATGCACCCACAGATATAATTTCCAGTCCCTTTCATTCCTGTCACAACAGAACACCATGAGGAGTGTGTGTGTGTGTGTGTGTGTGGACCCGCAGGGTCATGGAAATTAGAGGGAACATTGATCAGGAAGGAGTTTATGTTTAGGAAAGTGTCCCTTTGTTGCACTAGCTGCTCCTGCAATACACACACTGGACTTGGGATATCCACGTAGTAGAACTGGCAATCACCCCATCACCCTGTGACATTGGCATCCCCCCATAACATACTTTTACCAATGTATTGGGCACGCTCACGCACACACACACACAATTACTTTGCATGCTGCCACCTTGCTGACTTTGATTCTGAAAAGAAACAGGACAGGTCATGCACACAGATAATCCTGGTAAGGAATGCACTGGTACAACAAAGGTACAAAATAAAATGTTCCACAGTTATACCACTAGGTGGGAAAATGACTTGGTCTTGACTCTGCATCATGTGACCAGGAAAAAAATACTGACATGACTGGTGGATAACTACATAACATTTCCCTTGTGACACCAGGGCCAAAGGCATACAAGTTTTCCCTGATTTTTAAACAGAACCAAGAACTGTACAAGCATAGCAATGTGATCTGTAGAGAAACTTTGGCCTGTTGTACAAATGCTAGCAGCAGTTATTTCCTCTTTAATAATAATTGTTACAAGCAGCTTTGTTCAAAGGTCACTGCTGTGTCATATTAATCTGGATGTGACCCTACTGTTGTTTGTGCTGTTACCAGAGAACAATATAATAATGTGTTATAGTTGGCCGAGTCGGTTAATCAATCCAACCTGGACTGTTTTTCCTGTCACACATTGCTGATAATCGCTTTTGAAAATAAAGTACAGTGCACATTGAGTGGAATCTAATTTTAGCAGCCTTTAACATCTGCTGCTGTACTGGTCCTGTGTTTGGTTCTCAAGGGAAAGCATTTGATGTTAAGTTCATTGCAGTGATTTCATCTGTTTCAAAGTTAAAAAAATACTGCTGAGTGTTCACTAAAATTGTGCTCCAAATATTTTTTTCACTTTTTCTCATTTACTGAAGTCCAGTAGTAAGTTACAACTAGAATAGACCCATTGAATCAGTGAGTACTTGGTGAGTCAACACTGATGTAAGTTCCATTGATTTAATGGGCCTACTCTAGTGATCTCAGCTTACTGTATCTTTGTCCAATTGACTCACATGCTTAGGTATGGGTACTGTATCATAAAGCTGGAAATGACTGCCCCCGATGATTGTATAAATGGGATTCATGCAATTAAGTTAATCAGTTCCTATCCAGCCTTTGTTCCAAACTGCCTTATAACTTAAAAACAGAGACTACTGAATACATAGCTTTACAATATTTAAAAATATAATTAATATAGTAATTGTATTTTTAATGATTATATATATTTTATACCAATTTAT